AATGTCATAAGATGCATACTTAGACGTGGGCACAGTCCAGAATGAGCACACAGTGAAATTTCTCACTCTCTTTTTTTTTTTCTTTTTTGGTGGTACTGGGGTTTGAACTCAGGGCCTCATGCTTGCTAAGCAGGCACTCTATAATTTGAGCCACTCCACCAGCCATTTTTTTGTGTTGGGTATTTTCGGACAGGGTCTAGAGAACTCTTTGACCAGGCTGACCTCAAACCTTGATCCTCCTGATCTTTGCCTCCTGAGTGGCTAGGATTACAGGAGTCAATCACCAGCACCAGGCATCACCAGTATCATCTATTATCTTTCAGGGAGTTACTATGTGGGACTAGGTGCTTCCTATGGTAAGTGGCAGCCCTAACTTGAAGTAGCTTAATACAAAAGTTCCTTACAGTGTGCACCATGGCTCAGCCCAGTGTCACCAGCAGCCTCTCTTGGGCTCCATCCAGTGGGCAGATGCCATCAGCACCCCTCCTTCCTCCCCGATCCTCCCCTGGCCACCCCAGCAGCCTTTCCATAGTCTCCAAGATTCCTTTTCTCTCATTGGCCAGACCTGGGTCATGTCTGTCTCTGGGCCAATTGCTGGATCTAAAGAAAGGGGAGGTGCTGATTGTCTCCACCTGCTCATGTGGTCCACCCTGCAGCCAAACTATGTAATGGGAATGAGAAGAACAATGGCCTCCAAGTAAAGTGGGAGGACTGTGCTTGGAGAAGGAATTTAGGGAGAAATTTTTCTGCTAAGCCTCTCTCATATATATATATATACACACACATACTTGTATACACACATATATACATACATATTTGACCATAGTGGAGTTTGAACTCAAGGCCTCTGCTTGCCAGGCAGGCATGTTATCAGCCCCCTTTAGCTTTAGTTATTTTTGGGATAGCCAATGCCCCGTAGCTGGGATCACAGAGGTGAACCACTACACGCAGCTGTTGGTTGAGACTGGGTCTTGCTAACTTTTTGCTGGCCTCAAAATACGATCCTCAATCTATCGCCTGAGTAGCTGGGATTATAGGCACCATGCCTGGTTTAAGTCAGTAAATATTTGAGTGCCTGCTATGTCCAAAGTACTGCCTTAGGTGTTGGGATATAGAAGTGAACAAAGTTGACCAAAATGTACTCCCTCAGGGAGGTGACATTCTGATGGGGAGACTAACAAAGAAATAAGTAAAATAGCTGGTGAAGGTGGCATATGCTATTGGGGAGGCAGAGGCTTCAGTTTCAACATGCAAAGGAAGAATCTGAGCATAGATGAGGAGGAGGTGAAGAAGGGGCCAGTGAGGAAGATATCTGGATGAAGGCTCCAAGCAGAGGAAACTGCAAGTGCAAAGGTCCTGGGATGGGGCACGTACAAGGAACGGTACCGAGGCCATGTGGCTGGAGCCGAGTGAGCAAAGGAGAACAGAGAGGGAGAAAGTCAGGTAGTGGAACAAGATGCATAGGGTCTTGGCAGCCTTCAGAAGACTTGAGGGGTTTACTCTGCTTGGGATGGAGCCCTTGGAAGCTTTTCAGCAGAGAAGGTGGGCTTTGCCTTGGGCTTACCAGGATTCCTCTGGCTGCTTGACGAGGTCAAGTTAGAAAGTGGGATTGTCCCCACACACGGGAGGCTGTGTATCTGTAAAGAGAATTCTGAACCATATGGAGGGTCCAGGTCTGTGGTGGGGCTCTGGCCCCCGCTCATGGGGCATCTCTGTACACCCCATGATCTCCTCTCCCCGCTACTCTCATGGGAGTGTCCCACCTGTCCAGTGCCCTGCTCGGCTGTGACCACTTTGTCCTCTGCCATCGCTCCACTGCCTGGCCCTTCCTCAACTTCTCTCCACCCCTCTTATGGGGTTTGGCAACCCTCCGAGGAAAGCAGCCCATCTGGATCTCTCCAGGATCCTGGACAAGATCTCAGGCGTTCTAAACCCTCAGCTGTGGTACTTAGATCGTCAGTCACCCCAGACCTGCTTCTCTGCAGATCCACAGATGGATCTGCATGAGAGGGACCTGCTAGGCTGGGGACTTCATCAAGGTCTGCGGGAAGACAGGATGAAGAACAGACCAGCTGAACCTTAAAGATAAGGTGGGAGAGTTGGTGTCCCAGGTGTGGACAGAACACCCGTTGGTGACATGGTGCAAATTCATGGAGATACACCTTGGCCACTATGGATATTTACCAAGAAGGGGAAAAAAATGGAGGCAGAATCTCTTGTGCCATTTTAAATTGATTTCTTCAGCACTTGGAGCAAGACTGGCACAAGGCCAGGAGGAGTTGAGCCGGGGATTCATCACAGATCGACCCACCAATGACTTGAGCTGATGGAATAATTAGCTCCTGGTACCCTGCCCCCTGTTGTAGAGCTCTGACTCCCATGTGGAGGAAGGAAGGGCACCTGCTGGCAGGTAGGACCCTCCCTGCCCTGGAGGAGGGGTCCTGACACCAGCATGGAGCCAGCCTGGAGCTAGCAAGTCCAGAGTGCCTGCTCACTCTCTCAGGGTGACACAAAGCAGTGTCATTTAAGCATGCTGGTGTGAGATGTGGATTTTAGCAGGAAGAAAATTGCCCTCTCTTGTGCTGTGACCCTCTGATCCCGGTTAAGACTCCTCCACCACTGCATCCCTACCTCTGTGGGGCTGTGGCAGCCCAGCCCTCTGTGAAGATGTCCTGTCCCAGCCCAGCCCCAAGCTCGGGGGGCTGCTCCCCACAGTGACTGAGGTGATACAGCCACAGTTGTCAGAGGCTACCAGGGCTTAGGGACCAACCAAGAAGAGTGTGGCCCCAGGAACTGGCAGTAGGCAGGAGCCATCACTACCCTGGACCTGGGGGCAGGTGAGGGCAAGGTTCACCCGGAGCTGAGGAAGCCGAGCCCAGGGGCCCCAGCAGGAGCTATGGCCATCGGTGGAGAGCTCTGTGGCTGCTGCAGGCTCGAGACCGAGCAGAAGAGAACAGATGTTCATCTCCCACCTCCTCCTGCCTGCAGCCACCGACCAGAGCCAGATCAGACAACAGTCCACAGAGGTTGGCTCCCCTGCCGCTGAGAGGTGCAGAATGCACAGGGGGGGCAGACAGTGCCTTCCCGGGGCCTCGGCAGCAACCTCACTGCCCAGACAACCAGAGAGCCAACTACTCTTTGGGGACCCCTGGGGGTGACTGGGGAAGGTGTCAGTGAGCCGGGCCTCTGAGTCTTGTAGATCCAGGGTATGGCACAGCCATACCTGAGCCCAGCATCCTTCGCTCTGCAGGATTTGGGAGACCTTAGCAGACCCTCCATTTCCTATTTATCTAAGGATTTATTTGTGCCAGGTACAGCTCTGGGTGCTGGGGCCAGTGCTGTGACCAACACAAACCCATCTCTGTCCTTGTGGAACCAACCCTTTAGTGGGTGTCAGCTAGACAATAAATAATTGCAGGTTTTTAGTGATTGAGGGAAATAAAACAGGTGATAAAAACAGAACGCCTGGGGTGGGACAGCTCCTTACATAGGTGACCAGGGAAAGGCTGCCCAAGAAGTGATATTAGTGGCTTGACTCAGCAGAGGAGTAAGAGCCCATCATACAAACCCTGAGAGAAACTCTTACAGTTTATAAAAGAGCAAGTGCAAAGGCCCTGGGGCACAAATGAGCCTGACTCATTCAAGCAATAGAAGCTAGTAGGCCTGGAAAAACAGTGGGAGGAAGAGGCAGAGGTAAGCAGAGACAGGTCACACCAGCCAGCAGGGAGTTTGCACTAACCCTGTAAGCCGTGAGAAGCCAGTGGAGGATTGAACCAGTAGGCACAGGACTGGCTGTCACCAGGTGAGACCAGTGTCTCGAGCTTGTATGACCAGGAGTGAGTGTCCCCTTCAGCCTGGGCTCTGTGAGCCTCACTGCTCTCTCAGGTCCAGACCCTGCTGAATCCCATTTTAGGAAGATTCTTTGGCTGCCCTTGGGAGAGTGGAGGATGGCAGGGGTTGGAGGTAGGGACCCCTCAGTACTACTGTGTAGTGTCCCGGGAGAGGGGACATGGGCAGTACCTCTGAGGGTCCTGGGGTTTCCATGGACAGCGTGACAAGTAGACTCCTTCAAGGTCACAGCCATGAAGATGAGTCTGAATCATGGCACTTGGTTTCCTCCCAACATTCATTCTCTCTCTCAGTCTCCCGCCCTCCCTCCCTCTGTCTCACACTCTGATAAATGACACCAAAGCCTGTTTCTGGCCAGGACTTGAGGCTCATTTCCTTAGGAAGGAAAAAAATGAGCACAGTGAACAGCACTGTTCACTAAGCAAGGCCTGCTTAGCTGAGGTCCGAGGTCCACTGCCCCCACCTTCCTCATTCCCTTCCCTTGACAGAGTCTGACCTGACGTCAAGGGGATGCCTTGGGACCACACTGGAATGTGACAGCTCTTCCCCCTCTACCTTTTAGCCTTCAGCCTTCTCTCTTGTCATTTTGTTTATTCTGCAACTTAAAATGGATGTGAATCCTTTTTCCAACCTATGGGGCCCGTTGATAAGGGACTTGCATGCATCTCCCTTGCTGGGCTGCATCCCCCCTTCCATCCGTGAGGAAACTGAGGCTCCTCCCTGGCTGAACCCAGGAGAGACAGGAACACAAAGCTCAAGTGTCTAAGCCACACTGACAGCCCTACTGTGTGCTGCAGCATCCACAACTCACCCCGCAGCCAGACAGAGGTGTCAGGCAGGGGATGTCCCCTCCAGCCGTCCCCACTTCAGCTTTCTGTATTCTGTTGCAGAATCAGGTTCATCTTCAGAGCCAGGCTGTCGCCGTACATCCAACAGCCCAGGGACGGTGGTGTGGTCACAGAGGCCTCTCCACTCGTCTGCCCACTGAGTCTATTGCAAATCCATCCCCACGTATGGCCGGGTGCTGCTCCCTTGTGCAAGGACACCCTCGTGCACGGTGCCGCCACACAGGGACTCCACTGTGCAAGATGACTGCCTAATGCAACGCTGACCTGATTCTCGTTTTCCTCAGGCCCTGAGTAAGGAAGGAGGAAGGGAAGAAGCCCACCCACAAAACACAGCTGCAGCCTCCGCCTCCCTAAAGAAGCGGGAGCCAGCCACAGTCTAGGATGGCGTCCCCTAGCCTGCCACGCTGGCTGCTGTCTGCTGCCCTCTTCTCCCTGCTGGGCGGGAGCTCGGCCTTCCTGTCCCACCACCGCCTGAAAGGCCGATTCCAGAGGGACCGCAGGAATATCCGGCCTAATGTCATCCTCGTGCTCACTGATGACCAGGACGTGGAGCTGGGTAAGCGTTGGGACCAGCAGGGTTCCTCTGGGTTCTGGGCCCCCCAGTGCAGAGCAGTTGTGTAGACGTGTGGTGTTCACCCCTGAGTGGATTCAAGCCCACACACTCTTGGATGGCCCCCACACACATGGCCTCCCAGCTGACCCCCAAGATTAGGAGTGTGAAGCCTTTTCCTAAGGCAGAGCTGTTCCTGGATCGCTCCAAAGTCTTAAGAGAAGACACACTAAGGCCAGCTCATTATTGTCAACCACTGTCCCCACCTGAGCCACTGGGGCTGCACCTCAGCCGTCCTGTCACCTAAACTCTGCCAAACTATGGGTTTCATTTGCATGTAGCATTCTACCAGGTTTTTATGAGCATGGGGTGGGAGGTGAGGACCCCATAAATGAGGCTACCAAGAGGGGGCCATTCCAGCTAAACCAGTGCTCCTGGGCATCGGACTTCACTTCTGTTTCCCACTTGCCTGTGACATTCTGCCTGTCGAAACCTCTTCCCCTTGCCTGTGTCTTCTCCCTGACTTCCCTGGTTTATGCGTTCCCTTTCTCCACATGGAGCCCTGTCAGTGCTGCCCCAGGGGAACACGGTCGGCCCCTCTGTGCTGAGGGTTCCAATCCACGCAGTCAACCAACCACAGAGCAAAAGTACTGGGGAGAATCGCCCCTGTACCGAGCACACAGAGACTTCTGTCCCTGTCATTGTTCCCAGAAGAATACAGGGCAACAACCGTTCCCCTGCCTTTGCATTGTAGTAGGGCGTCGTAAGTCCTCTCGAGATTCTTAGTGCATGTTGGGGTGTGCGTAGTTTCTATCTGTGTAAACGCTCGGCCATTGCCTATAAAGGGCTTGCGCGTCTGCAGATTTTGGTATTCAACATGGTCCTGGAACCCATCCCCCACGGATACCAAGAGACGACTGTAACGTGAGCCACAAGCACAAATGACAAATGTACATTTTCTAGTAGCTACTTCTTTTTTAAAAGGTAAAAAGAAACTGGTGAAATGAATTATAATAACATCTAGTTTAACTCAACATATGAAAACTGCTTTCATCTCAACATGTGGTCAATATACGAAATTATTTACGCTGGGCGTCAGTGGCTCACCTCTGTAATCCCAGCTACTCAGGAGGCAGAGATCAGGAGGATTGCAGATCAAAGCCAGCCCAGGCAAATAGTTCTGCAGGACCCTATCTCAAAATTACTCAAAGAAAGGAACTTCTTGGAATTGCTTTATGTGGGGCAGGGAGAGGATCAAGGGGGAGAGATGTTGGGGTGATCTAACCAATATACAATATAAGCCTATTTGGAATTGTCACAATGAATCCCCTCTGTACAACAAATACATCCTAATTAAAAATAAATGAAGTACCCGATATAAAACAGGGCTGGTGGAGTGGCTCAAGTGATAGAGCGCCTGCCTAGCAAGTTCAAACCCCAGTACCATTAAAAAAAAAAAAAATTATTTGTGACACACTCTGCGTTCCTCACGATGTTTTTGGCACTAGGCATACATTTTGCACTCACAGCACACCTCTCTTAGGGCCACCACCCCTCAGGTGCCCAGTAGATACTGTGGCTCGCGGCTACCATGCCAGGCAGTGCACACCCGACGCATTTTCCTTCTCCTGTAAGTTAGATTCGTAAAAGTTGGGGGAAAGGGTGTTCCAGGCTGGGGGAACAGCATGAGCAAGGCCGTGAGGTAGGACCAAGAAGGCAGATGTGGTTGGCGCCTGGGAAGGGAGGTAAAACATGAGGCTGGAGAGGGGACCAGGTCTCAGAGGCTCTAGGGAGCTGTGGGAAGGATGGCCAATTGCTGATCAAGCAAAGGATGGGCCCCTAGCCTCTGTCTACCCTCAAAGGACAATAGAATGTTGCTGGTGGCAGCAAATGTGAGAGTTTACTAGGTAAATTGATTCAGTCTCCTGAGGCACAGGAAAGTTCGTTCATAGAAACCTAAGAGGTTCCTTGTGATGGTTGACTTGTAGATTTTCTTAGGAAGGTCTTCAGTGCAAAAAGAGTTTTGGCCGGGAGCAGAGCCCAGGGCTCATGGACAGTGTGACACGGTTCTCTCCAGCTGCATTCAGAATGGGCTGCCTTTGCTAACTGGGAGCATCACAGACTGTGCCCATTGCGGGGGCTGAGTTTTACTTCTGGTGGAGTCTCACACACAGGACCTGCACTGTAAAGACGCCCTCGTGTTGTCTTGCTGTGATGCTGGGAATCCGAGGCACCGTGGATGTCTGTGCACTCTCCCGGCAGGCACTTACCATGAATCTGCTTGTGGGGCACACTGTACCGGGAGCCGGGGGGCTGGGGGGCCTCCAGGGAGACAGAACAGGACCAGCCAAGGTACCATAATAGAAGTGCACTCGAGAGCTGGGATGCAGGGGCTGGGCCTTGAATGTAGAGAGGAGGCCGGGGGCCACTGGGGCCAGGCCAAGCATGGGTGTTATTTCTGTTTGTTTTGGGACAGGGTTTTGCTGTGTAGCCCAGGCTGACTCCAGGTCCTTCTGCCTTGGCCTCCTGAGTGCTAGGATTATAGGCTGCACCACCTTGCCCAGCTTTGAGATCTTCTTAGTGAAACAGACATGAAAATGGGGATATTCGGCACAGAGGGGCTGTGGTCTCCCATAGGACCCCCTTCCTGTGAAGTCAGACTGCAGGGAGCAAGAACAGAAGCGCCAGAGCAGTACGGGGCTTGCGACAGCTGGTCCCTCCTGGTGTATGCGTGGGAAATGCATTGATGATGAGTTAGGGGTAAAGAAGAGAGAAGGCCCAAGGGCAGCTTCTAGATCTGGGACCTGAACCAACATGTGAGCAACTGGACACCCGCTCTTAGGCACAGAGCATTGTTCCCACAGCCGTGTGGTCCCACGAAGCCTCGCATCAGAGTCTGACTACAAGTTTACAGCTGTGACTCTTAACAAGGCACTGAGGATGTTGCTCATTGGTAGAGCACTTGCCTAGCATGAGCAAGGCCCTGGATTTCCTCCCTAGCATTGTGGAAAAAAAACAAAACAAAACCAACCAAATAAGCAGATGTAAGGAAAGGAGCTATCGGTATGATGAGGGTTTCAGACAACAAGCAAAACCATAGCTAACTTAAAATACGGAGATGCATTCTCTCCATTTTACTGATGGAGAAACTGAGACACAGAGAAGTTAAGCCACTTGTCCAAGGTTTCACAGCTAGAATGTAGTTCAACTGGATTTGAACCCAGAGCCCGTGGTCTTACTCAGCTTAACCAGTTTCCTGGGGTGGATAATGAGTGGTTTCCAGACTGCTAGTGTGTCTGTTAGTTTTTCACTCTCACAAATACTCTTGCTGGGAATATCTTTAGCAGTGTGTCTGCAAGGAAGAGTTTCTGGAAGATAAATTCCAGGAAACAGAAGTGGTGGGAAATCTGAGCCCCCTGTGTTCTGTCATGCGCGTGTTCCCACCCTTGGCATGAAATGACAGGGATTGGTGCCTCGAGTCTTCCCCTCGGTAGACAAACAACACCATCTTCCCAAGGCAGAAGACCCAGCTTTTGTTTTTGTTGTTGTGGGTTCCTTTTTGGCAATACTGGGATTTGAACTCAGGGCTTCATCCTTGCTAGACAGGCGCTGTACCACTGAGACATGCCTGCAGCCCTTTTTTGCTTTAGTTATTTTTCAGGTAGCATCTGGGGGTTTTGCCCAGGCCAGCCTGGGACCACGATCCTTCTTCTACCTCTGCCTCCTGCATAGCTGGGATGACAGGCTACACCACCACAACCAGCTTAATAATTGAGATGGGGTCTCACTAACGTTTTTCCCCTGCCTGGCCTTGAACTGCAATCCTCCCACTTCCACCTCTCAAGTAGCTGGGATTATAGACATGAATAACCATGCCTGGCCCCCTTGACCTGGCTTTTGAAGCAGGCTAAGCCTCTGTTGGGTGAGGGACAGGAAGGTAGTAGTCAGGGGGGCTGCTGTGCTTTTTATAAACCACAAGACAGACCCAGATCAATAATGCATATTCCTAAAAAACCCAACACATTATCTCACAGTCTGCTACAACTGGCACACAGAGGGTGGTCCTAAAAAATTTATCATTTGCTATTTTCTGCTCATCCGTGCGGCAGCTCCAGCAGCTCTCTGGGCTGGCAGCTTCTCCACTGAGCTAATGGCAGGCTTCCTTCCAGACCCCGGGCGGGCAGAGAACAGCCGTCCATCCTCATTACAGTCTGGTCGAGAGGCCAGCTGGGCAAGAGGGGGGCTCAGCCTGTTCTCAGTGCTGCTGGGGGAGGGGCTTGCATGCATTCCACTCAAGTTGTCACTGGGAAGCATCAGATGCCCAGGGGACTGGTTCCAGGGGCAGACTAGTCTTCAGGTGGCCTGAGTTAGCCAGGTATTTTCAGCACAACTGCAGACATCCCTGTTTGGCTGAACCCTGGGGACCTTGGGGTCCAGCTCCCCCTCCACCAGGACAATGAGCGGGAGAAGCAGGTGCACACTGGCTGGGGTCATCGCATGCTGTCCTTTGCTCAGGGAGGCTGTGGAGCCAGCAGCCTCTACCAGGGCTCACAGGTTTAATTTGGTTCATGCTAGTCTGTGGTGGCCTCCAGGGTTGCAGGCACGAGCCCCTGACAAGTCCAGCCTGGGGCAAAAGCATCACTGTAGCATCCTGGCTTTGTAGTACTTGAGATTTTCTGTAATGGTATTTACTTTTTCAATCTTAAATCTGATCTTAAAAGGAAGCTTTAGCCTGGCATCAGTGGCTCAGGCCTGTAATCCTAGCTACTTGAGCGGTTGAGATCAGGAGGATTGTGGTTTAAGGCTAGTCTGGACAAATAGTTTGTGAGACCCCCATCTCCAAAATAACCAGAGCAAAATGGACTGCAGTATGGTTCAAGCGTAGAGCACCTGCTTTGCAAGCACAAAGTCCTAGGTTCTAACCCCATTCCCACCAAAAAAAAAAAAAACAACCCAAACCCAGGAAGCTTCACATTCTGATTGCAAACGACAGCCCAGCACCCATT